AGCTTTCGTTCCAGTTCTCCAATTCTGATAGTTACCCCTTCATCTTCTTGCATCATCTCTTGTAGGTGATTGCATCTTTCGTTCCCCTTCTCTTCGCGTCGCCCATTCTTGCATCGGATCCAGCAGATGTCGTCTCCACTGGAGCGACTCTGCCTTCACCTGTTACTTGTGACCCTGTCGGCATGGTCATTACTGTAGCATCTGCTGAACTCGCACCAGTCGTCAATGATCCTGGTGACGATTGGGACATAGTTCCTCCAGGTGCAGCAAAGGAAAGCTGTTCACTGCACTTTCCTCCGGAACTAGACGTTGCAAGTCAAATGTCGGCAATCTTCTCTTTCGGTCTTTCAAGCTCTTGATAAAGGAAGCAAGTTCTTTCGGTCTCTTTGCAGGTCAAATGTCGGAAGCAGCCCTTGATAAAGGGCATGAATCAATCCTCGCAAAAGGTGTTCCTTGCAAAAGCATGGAAGCGGCCCTTGATAAAGGGCACAAACCCATCCTTGCACAAGGTCCTTGCAAAAGGATGGAAGCAGCCCTTGCTACAGTGCATAAATCAGTCCTTGCAAAAGGAGTTAAGCAGCCCTTAATACAGCGCATAAATCAATCCTTGCAAAAGGAGTTCCTTGCAAAAGGATGGAAGCAGCTCTTGGCAAAGGGTGTGACCTTGAAAAAGGATACCCTTGCAAAAGGGCTCAGACCCTTGGAAAAGGGCTCTGCACCAAGACCTTGAGAAAGGTTTTTTGCTAGCGCTAGGCCTTGAAAAAGGTTTGTACATATGTACATATATAGCTGAATATCTTGCTTGCATCTTGGAAAACAGTCGCTGCTGCTGCTTTTAGCCAGCTCTTGAAAAAGAGCCAGCTCTTGGAAAAGAGCAAGCTCTTGATCAAGAGCTGAGCGAGAGGCCATGCGTGTGTTTCACTCCAGCAGGCTAGCCAAAATGGCAGCCAAGCATGAATTAAAAAGATAATGTGAAAACTATACAAAATATAGATAGTAAATATGTCATATACTATAATGTTATGTTACTTTAAAATGTATAGTTAATGTATATAATGTGTTTATATTTATATTTATATATATATATATGCGCACATAGTGAAAGTGTAATAGTCAGATTTAATATTCAAATATACTAAATCTAGATTTGTTAGCCAATAGATTTAACTAGATTAAAAAAACATCTATATGTGAAGTCATATATTTGCATTAAAAACAATACAGCGAAAAAACAACATAAAATCACAGAAATACAAAAAGTTGTCTATTTAGTTGTAAATACAAAAAAAGATTTAAAAACATAGAAATAATAGACATATAGATACACTGTATTGCGCTTATTTAGATTAAAGAATACAATACGCAAAGAATACATTAAAGCATACAAAAATCAGAGCAAAAAAAAGCAAAAAAAACAAACTCAATACTAATATAGTTTCTACACAAATTCATTAATTTAAAAACACAAGTACAAGAATGACAACCCAAAATTACAAAACCAAAAGAACCAAAAACGACAAAAATCACAAAAATACAACATAGTTGTTTCTTAATTGTAAAGACAAAGAAAATAAACCAAACAAACTCTAAAAAAGTATACCTTGCTTTTAAAACTCTAATTCACAAGACAACGATAAATATATAAAAGTTCCAACCTATGAAAACACTATATAGCAAACTTAAATAGAAACCAAAAAGCTACAGAAATAAAAATTAACAAAAATCAATCAATTTAAAAACCAAAACTGTTGAAAAGTATGAAAGTACGATGAAATATTATGAAAACATATATTCATTTTTTCAAAAAACGCACTTGTGTTTTGAAGCTATTTTTAAAAACACACTTAATCGGGTTTTCAAGTATTGAAAGGTCTAAATATTTTGTTGTTTAATAAATGTTTTGGTGAAATATTGTGTTCAGCAATTTGTTTTCTTGCATGGTTTGTCGGTTCTTGTGGTTTTCATATTTTTGAACCATGTAATATATAGGTTATTAGATTATTTGAGCCATATATAATATTAGACTATCGTATTATATTAAACTATTTGTTTAAATACAAACCTCAAATATACATGATGTACACTGTAGCTGTTTGGCTTACAGTTGAAACACAAAAAGAAAAGAAACACAAAAAGACAAAACAAGAAAAAGGAAAGTCATGGCTGGGAAGCCCAAGGGCATTTTGAAGAACGCAATGAAGAAGAAGCGCCAAGACCTCTCTTCCTTTGATGAGAGTGGATGTCCTGCCCTTGGCGTTGATGCGGGTCCTCAGCTTCATACCGACATTGTCCCCCTCTTCTTTGGAATCAGTGCTAGACCCAACTTCGCATCGATAGAATGGAACCTTGGATCACCAGAATCCATAATTAGCCTATCTGGGTCTGGATCATCTATCGCTTCTCTGACCCGATCAATCCATGGTCCATGGTTGTTGATCAGAACCGTTTGCCGCAACGATAATCGCCTGAATCAGGTTGGCTTTCCATAGTCCCAGATCATTGGCCTTGGGCCATGGAGGTACATTTACCTTGGGCTCTTCTGTCCTGGAAACTTTGGCGGTTGCAAAGATGGGTGAGGATGAAGATGTCGACGCCGCCTCGGACAGCTTGTTCCTGAGCTCTGCATTCATAGCTTCACGCTCTTGCGCTTCTTCACGTTGCTCAGTATAGCTTGCAAACGCTTCCTCACGCCACTCATACATGTCGTCTCGACTATTTCTCAGCCTGTGCACTTCACCTTCATGGTATTTGATATCTTCTCTTAGGCGTGAGTTCTCTTCGTCGTTTGGTCGAGAGGTTGGTAACCCTCGTCCCTCACGTTTATCGTCTCGACTATATTCTGAAAAGGTTTATTTGCGACGAAGCTTTGCCTTCATCTGTGCGTTTTCCGACCTCGTTTCCTGTAGCTTCTCGACTTCTCGGTGTCCAATTAATTCTCCTCGAGTTCTTGGATCTTCTCTCTGGTTCCTGCCACTCCACGACCATCGAAGGCGGACGTATTCAGAAGGCTCTCTCGGTTCAATACCCTGTTGGCTTCTGTAAGAGCAAGGCTGGCTTCCTTCAGCTGTTGTTGTTCTTCCCTCGCTTGTCGTTGAATGCCATTTACTGTCTCTTCGACCGTACTCATGGCTTCTGCCATTGCTCTTGCTTCATACTGGATGTTTTGCTTTTATCTCTTTCTCTGTGATCTGACTTTGAATCCTTGGATCTCAGACGACCTGTCTTTTTGTTCGAAGTCGCGTGAGTTCATCTCTGCAGCCGCGCTAAGCACTGATCCTTTGATGATGGCTAGCCACGAAGACGCTCGACCATTCTTTGTTCTTGATACTGATGACCAGTGGTCTCAGCTATCTCATCAACCAATAGTTTCTGTTGCATCTCGTGACTCCATTGCCTCTCTCTCTCTCTCAGCTATCTCCAACATGTTGCTATTTTCATCTTGCAGCTCCAACATCCTCATTTGGAGACCATGTGCAACGTCAATGATTCAATGATTGCTTGATACTCCTCACGTAGGCCTTGGGCGCGTCGAATGGTGAGTCAGAAGTCTGACTCTGCTCATGGATGTAACGAAGGACGCTTTGCATCTCATTGGTCATGTCTCCCAGCTTGGATCTCACGGTGAACAGGCGCTGGAAGGCGCATTTTCTGCCCCGCAAGTTGCTGAATAAGTTGCAGCGCGCCTTGAATGGGAATGGGCTCACATTTGACCTGGCGGTGAAGGTGCTGGTAGCTGCAAGCTTGGCGCCGCTTATGCGGAGGACCGAGCAGGAGGCTGAAGAGGTCACTATCCTCAGGTCCAGGGTGATCAGGTGATCCTTGAGATTGAGGAAACGACACTAGGTCACGGGCCTGATCCTCAAGTCAGCGGCGTAGAGCCTCGGAATCATAGTGCTGTGGTTCCTTGGCAGAGCCGTTGCCAACAGGCTAGTCAGAGCCTATCACGGGAATTCCCTGCCTACCAAGCTTTCTACGTCAAGCTGCGAATGTTCTTCTTGACTTTCTTGAGCAAGTTCTTGATACTTTGAATAAATGTGATCTGCCATTGATTCAGCGAGTCGGAGCTTTCGTTCCAGTTTCGTTCCAGTTCTTCAATTCTGATAGTTACCACTTCATCTTCTTGCATCATCTCTCGTAGGTGTACTTGTTGCATCTTGTCACTTGCGAAAGTTCCTCCTGAGATTCAGAATATAGTCTTGCGTATCCATCATGCAGGCAACTGTATTCGTCATCCAGGTATTGGTACGAAACTCTGGCTGATCGTAGCTGTTCGATGAGTTGGACCTTTCTTTCCTCAATGCCTTTTGCGTCCTCGATCTCCACTCTCTCAATGCTTCACTTTGGTGACGTATTCATATTCATTCTTGGCGACGTTGATCTCACAATTTTTCTCAATGTTCTCTTCGCGTTGCCCATTCTTGCATCGGATCCAGCAGATGTCGTCTCCGGTGGAGCGACTCTGCCTTCACCTGTTACTTGTGATCCTGTCGGCATGGTCATTACTGTAGCATCTGCTGAACTCGCACCAGTCAATGATCCTGGTGACGATTGGGACATAGTTCCTCCAGGCGCAGCAAAGGAAAGCTGTTCACTGCTCTTTCCTCCGGAACTAGACGTTGCAAGTCAGAGGTCGACAATCTTCTCTTTCGGTCTTTCAAGCTCGTAACCTCGAGCGGCTACGGCTGATAACCTGCGTATGGTTATTGACCTTGTAACCGGGAAGGTTTACAAAGCTACCCAGTACTCCATTCAGAATCAAAAGGACGCGCGGCCTTTTTCCTCCAATAGAGGCTCTTGAGCCAAGCAGCATGCGGTCATCACACATAGTATACATTCTGTACATATTCTATATACCTATCGCTGCACTTCCATTGACATATTATATATGTAATCGTATATTCTGATAACAGATAACAGTATATATTATATAAAGATTAGAAGTCAAACGTTTCGACCTGCTGAATGCGTCACACAAAATCCATCTTTCTTGAGGTCGTGGCAGGCAAAGCGTTGGCCACAATTGGTGGGGAGGTGCAAAGCTGCATACAGGAGGCGCTGCTGAAGACACCGTCCTGGAGCACGGTGTGGGAAGCCGCTCTCCCGTTCTGGGACGGGTAAACAAACTCCAAGGGTGGCCTGACATGCCAGGTCCCCGGTCTTGATACGGCCTGGACACTGGAGGAACTTGTTCAGAAAGAAAAAGCACACACCAACTGGAACATTTCATAGCGATCCTTTTCGCAGCCATGAACTAAGTTTAGTCTTTAGTTCTTCGCACTGGACCAATTCCCTAGACTGCACAACTCCTCAAACTTCAATTGTCAAGTTGCGCGTTCAACTTAGGGCCCACCGGGCGGCCCACCGGGCGGCCCACCTCCTAGGCAGCTCACTTCACAGCTCTGGTTGTGGAGCGTTCCTGCGCAGGCCGCCAACAAGGTCTGATCCTCGGCTCGACGAGTCGCCGGAGATACGGCCAGTCGCAAACGACTTGCGTCGCTGAAACCGCGAAGGCAAAACCGAGGCTGAAACCGCGAAGGCCACGCTGGGGGCCTACGAGACGGGCGGAGGTGCCGATGCGGAGACGCAAAGGCGCAAAGACACGCGGGTGGGATCCCACCATTTCCGAAAGGGGCTGGTGGAGAAATAGACAGGAAAGCGAAAGGCTTGAACACCCAACCGGTTGAGATTCAATGATCGAATTGTTCAAGCTCCGGGAATCATCTCGAAGATCCACTCTTCATGGAGACTCAATCAAAGATGTGGACTCTCATTTGTGTCATGGCGCCATGCCAGCTAGTGCCTGAGAGCAGGGTGCCCGGCAGAGGAAAGAACTTGGTGACAGCTGCCCATCCTCAAACACTCAGGTCCATGAAATAGAACCAACACGAGAAAAAATCCAAAACGCATCCAAAAACATTGATGCGTCCATTTCCTGCGCACCATGGTTGTCACGAGGCCTTCTTTATGACTCTATGAACAATCTTTGCTGCTGCTAATTGGAGATTGTACAGCCGTAGCGCAACTTCATAGGCAAGCCTCCCCTTGCAAATTGGTTTCCAGCACGAGTCATTGAATCATTGTCACTCTTTGCGCTTTTGTTGCAGGTGCTTGTGCCAGAAACCGGGGGGATGGGACACTTCAGAACACCTGCATCACCTGCCATATCTTCACTGACCTACACGACAGATAGACGCATGCAGTGCAAAAACATGCTTGAAAACCTCGAGAATTACAGCAGGTCCCAAACAAAAAAACAAATTCCATGTTCCGAGATCGAGGCAAAGCAGCTGAGTTCACCGAGTCCGCCCGGCACTTCGGGCAGGAAGCCTGGCTGAAGCAGCCGGAATGGATTTATGATGTTTATGTCAAAGTTGTTCAACATCATGCGCGCAGATGTTTCTGTATAGCACCTCTATGGTTTGAACATGATGGTAGCGGAGCGGTACTCTTGACAGAACAATGTCACCAACGTTTTGGCCCCTCGTACCCTGGACCCTGGCTCATACCAAACAGTGTGTCTAAAGGTCTACGGTCCGGAGGTGTAGAAACAAAAGGTCTAGAGATCTAGACGCATTGGGTTCCAGAGAGAGGCGAAGGTGGTGATGATGGTGGTGATGAAGGTGGTCATCGTGGTGATGGTGGTGGAGATGAAGGTGGTGATGATAGCGGCGATGGTAGTGGTTGATGATGGTGGTGGGAGATGGTGGCGGTGATGGTGGCGGAGATGGTGGTGGTGATGACGGTAATGATGATGTTGATGGTGGTGGTGATGGTGGTGACGGTGATGGTGGTTGTGGCGGTGGTGATGGTGGTGATGGAGCTTAAAACTCACAGGGTTGTAGAGGTCTAGAGGCGGAGAGGGTTGTCTACAGATCTAGGGGTGGAGGTGTAGGGAGCATGCGTATGAATACACATGTACATGTAAAGTTAAAGTAAAAACGCTCGCGCATGGGAGCACACTTGCGGCACCTCCCACGAAATCTGCACTTCACAAGGTCTACAAAGTACTGAGTACTGCACCTGCCACAATATCTACACTTTGAGGTCCACAAAGCAATGCGCTGCCACAAAATCTGCACCTCAAGGTCCACAAAGTGGTGCGCCTGCCAACTCAATTCGCTGCAAGAGCACTTCCAAAGACAGCATCAAGATGCCCAAACGCAGCTTTCGGTGAAGGATCAAAAAATTAAGCAAACTATTTCAGGAGATCACACCAACTCGCGATCGATCCACGTTCGCCCCTCAATAGCCCTTCCACATCGTGGGTCGCTATGTACGAGAAACAAACAAAATAGCCACGAAGCATGGAAACCACCTCACAACCACGACGCTGGTTTAAGACACAGTGTGAAGGGGAAGGTGAATTAAAACGAACGAATGCACAGCAGCGCATCTAATTCAAACGATGGTTTCTGGCGAATACATTTCTTGATACGTTGATAAAGGTTATGACCTCTATAAGGCGGAATTATTTCAGGAGATCAAAAAGTATCACCTGCGGCGCCAGTCGCTTTTAGTAGTAGTAGTAGTAGAAGAAGTAGTAGTAGTAGTACTAATAGTAGTAGAGTAGTGTAGTAGTAGTAGTAGTAGTAGTAGTAGTAGTAGTAGTAGTAGTAGTATAATAGTTATGATAGTAGTAGTAGTAGAAGTAGTAGTAACAGGAGGAGGAGTATATTCAAAGGAAGTTTAGTGTGCAAAACTTCCGTGTTACGGACATTCAACAGCTGTTCAACCACCACTCATCAAACACCACTCATCATACACCACTCATCATAATACACCACTCATCATACACCACTTTTCATACACCACTCATCATACACCACTCATCATACACCACTCATCATGCACTACTCATCATACACCACTCATCATACACGACTCATCACGCACCACTCATCAACACCACTCATCATACACCGCTCATCATACACCACTCATCATACACCACTCATCATACACCAGTCATCATACAACCACTCATCATACATCACTCATCATACACCATCATACACCAGTCATCATACACCACTCATCATACACCACTCATCATACACCAGTCACCATACACCACTCATCATACACCACTCATCATACACCACTCATCATAC